TATCATATCCATACAATGTAATATTATTTGGCCATTAAAAAGAATGAAGTACTGATACATGCAATAACATGGATGAATCTTGAAAACATTATGCTAAATGAAAAAAGCCAGTTATAGCAAATATTTAGATACAAAGGACTATGAGGAATGACTGCTAATGGGTAAATACAAGGTTTCTTTTGGGTGACAAAACATTTTAAAAATTAGATTGTGGGGATAGTTGCACACTGCTATCAACATGAATATATTGAAAACCATTGGTTTTATGCTTTAAATGGGTAAATTGCATGGTCTGTGAATTATATCTCAATAAAGCTTTTATAGAAACTTAAATAAATTAGAGCAGTAAATACAGGGCAAATGAGGACATATTTTCCAACACACTAATACTAGTAATTGAAATATGATGTTTCCTTTAGCATCTGACAACCAAATAATATTTTTCAATAGCTAAAAATACGTTTCTTCTAACATCTCAGTATAACATGTTGGGCATACTCAGGAATGGAACAGACAAGTCATTCTATTTAAATGTTTAATAACTGCGCTTACTTTGGAGGAACAGATCCTAAAACCGAAGAATTTAAAGAATGTTTAACATGGCTTTTTTTTTTTTTTGCAAGGATGCATGTAATCTAGTAGCTGAAGGATGAGTTATTCATTGGTGTTGGGATAATTGCCTGTCCATGAGGGAAACAAATATGTGCACTTCACATTGTACACAAAAATGATTTTCAAATTTTCTTGCTTATCATATTTTCTCCATGTATTTAAAACATTTCTCCAAAGTTTTTTTTTTTTTTTTAAATAGTTCTTGATAAAATATTAGGTAATAGTTTAACTGAGTGAATTAGGTCTATACCAAAACACTATTGAATAAAAAATCACTTTATAGCATGATACACTTGTTGTGATATGAATATATATTTAAAATAGAATTTCTGGGATTTTGTATATGAAAGCATACAGGACTAAAGGTGTCTAATCTAAATATGAAATATGACGTGTTGTTTTCTTTAGCATTAGAAAAGATGAATAAGCCCTAGCTGGTTCAGTGGATAGAGAGTCAGGTTTGATTCCAGTCAAAGACACTTGGTCGAGCCGGGACCGGTTTGGCTCAATGGATAGAGCGTCAGCTTGGGGACTGAAAGGTCCCGGGTTCGATTCCGGTCAAGGGCATGTACCTTGGTTGCAGGCATATCCCCGGTAGGGGGTGTGCAAGAGGCAGCTGATCGATGACTCTCTCTCATTGATGTTTCTGACTCCCTATCTCTCTCCCTTCCTCTCTGTATAAAATCAATAAAATATATTAAAAAAAAAAAAAAAAAAAGACACTTGGTCGGGTTGGGGGCTCGATCCCCAGTAGGGGGCGTGCAGGAGGCAGCCGATCCATGGTTCTCTCTCAACATTGATATTCCTATCTCCATCTCCCTCTGCCTTCCTCTCTGAAATCAATAAAAATATTTAAAAAAAATAAAAGATGTTTTATTAATAATTATTAAGTTCTGTTAAATTCAATTCTATTGTGCCAGGTAAAGACACTATAATTGTAGCTTTGAAACATGCAATATTTACCTGGTAAATGTTGGTTTTAGCAGAACTTAATAAAATTTTAATGTTTTATATTATGGTCTGTCATATAATTGAGAGAAAAGATATGGTCTTTTAAAAATTATCTTGGGAAAATGGCCAAAGATTAAGAAACAAATTCACAGCACTATCTTGTACCATGCACTCAAATTATAAATAAATCAACGGATGAAATATTTAAATTAATAACACTGGTAAAATGATAGAAAATCTTCATGGAGGGGAGTTTTTCTGAGTATGCCCTCAAAATCAGAAATGCTAAAGGAAAGAGCAATGTTTGCCTTTAAAATATGTTTAAAACATTAAAAAATGATTTTATAAAGAGAAAAAGGGAGAGGAGGGGGGAGGTAGAGAGGAGAGAGATATCGATGTGAGAGAGATACATTGATCAACACCTCTTGGAATTGAACTCACAACCTTTCTGTGCACAGGACAACCCCAACCAACCAAGTCACACTGGCCAGGGCAAGAGTGATTACATTTGATTTTAAAAACTGTATGCCGAAACCGGTTTGGCTCAGTGGTAGAGCGTCAGTCTGTGGACTGAAAGGTCCCGGGTTCGATTCCGGTCAAGGGCATGTACGTTGGCTGCAGGCGCATCCCAGATGGGGGGTGTGCAAGAGGCAGTTGATCGATGTTTCTCTCTGATCGACATTTCTAGCTCTCCATCTCTCTCCCTTCCTCTCTGTAAAAAATCAATAAAATATATTTTAAAAAAACTATAAAAAATAAACATTGGTGAAAATTTTATGATTAAGTCAAAGGTGAATCTGTAAGAGAGCAGATGGGCAGGAATGGTTCAAAAGGATTCACAGACTCTTGAATCTGTTTTCACCTCTTTCCCTGTTTATAAATGAATATCGCAATCACTGCCTCAGAGTTTTGTGTACACAGGTGCTAGTGCTTCTTCTGTTCTGGTATAAAGTTCTTGGGCTGGAACATAACCTGAATTCAAGCTATATTCCGCCTTATCTGTCCCTTTTTCTTTCCTTCCACTACCCACACCCAATGATTCTCTTCGATTTTCCCTTAACCTGATATATAAAATTTAGGGAAGTTGATCTGTTCCAGATATGGTGAATGTTGAATGTAAAATATTAGAGGGTACTGGGAAGTTTGTGAGGTGGAATAAAATCAAACTCCACATACTTGAAGGCATTATATATCTTAGAAATGGAAAAAAAAAAAAGTCTTCCCTTAAGGATAGTCAATACTCCTTTCTTTTTTATGGGATGTGTGCTCTTAAAATGTATGGAAGCTGAAGGAGATTGGAGATTCTGTTACAATACAGGGTGGGCTTATTCTTAAACTCTAGATGTTTTCTTCTCTTGAGTAGCACTGGGCCAGTAAAGTGGCCTACGATTCTGTAAACCAGATTCATGTCCACCTCCTCTATATCACTTCAACACTCTGTGGTATCCTATATAATAAACGGCTAATATGCAAATCGACCAAATGGCAGAATGACTGGTTGCTATGATGTGATGATGTGCACTCACTACCAGGGGGCAGATGCTCAACCTAAGAGCTGCTCCCTGGTGGTCACTGTGCTCCCACAGGGAAAGCGCTGCTCAGCCAGAAGCTGTGGCAAACACAGAGGTGGTGGCGGGAGCATCTCCCACCTTTGCCATAGCGCTAAGGATGTCTGACTGACAGCTTAGGCCTGCCCCCGAGGGCTCCTGGACTGTGAGGGGGCACAGGCTGGACTGAGGGCCCCCCCCCCCCACCAAGTGTACAAATCTTGGGCACCAGGCCTCTAGTCTATATCTATATCTATCTATCTGTCTATCTATCTATCTATCTATCTATCTATCTATCTATCAATCAATCAATATAGATCTATACACACACACACACACACACACACACACATATATATGGAAATGAAGCAATTTATTACAAATAAGATACCTTACAAAATATATCCCCTTTAATTCAAAAATTTATCCTCAGGAAATAATCAGGTGAAAGTGTATAAAGGGGCTTATTACAGTATTATTTGTAGTTGTAAGACATTGGGAGCAACCTCCATGCCCCAAAATGAAGATGAGGTAACAAATTATGTTTCTTTCATTCAGTAGAATGCTGTGCAGACAGTAACTAAATTAGAGCAACTCCTTTTATTAAGAAGATGAAATCTAGGAAAAATGAAGGATATAATAAGGAAACTAGTCTATGCTACCCCAAAATATGCCTCTTTGACATAAAAATTATTTTGAGCTTAAGGTAATTAAGAAGCAGTAAGAGACAGTGAAAGCTCTCCCTTTGCTGCATAATGGAAATAAATTCTTTTACTGGAGACAGACAACTGTCCACCCATAGAATCTGCAGACAAACCTTATTGAAGTAATCCTTATATTCCTAGTTACTTCTTCACCATTTACTACTCCTAGCCCAACTCCTTGTCAGTTATTCACAAACTTATTGTTTCTTTGTCTAACAGGTATAAAAGCTTCCTATTGTTCACTTCTTTGGGACTTCATTCTCTTTGAAGGCTCCCATATATGTGTAAAAATTCAATAAAATTTATGTGCTTTTCTTTTGTTAACCTATCTTTGTTACTTTACTTTTCAGACCCAACCAGGGACCCTAAGAGGGTCAAAGAAAACTTTTTTCTCCTCTATTACACTATTCCATTTTAATCTGTGTATATAAAAGCCTAAGCAACTATTACAACCAGTCGCTATAATGTGCTCTGACCAGCGGGGGGCAGACGCCCAATGCAGGAGCTGCCCTCTGGTGGTCAGTGTGCTTCCACAGCCATCCTCCCCAGCCAGACAACCTCCCATAGTCCCTTATCCCTGCCAGCTGGCCCCAATCAACTCTGATCGGCTCTGATCTCCGGCCAGACTGAGGAACCCCACCTGTGCATGGATTCGTGCACTGGGCCCCTAGTAAAATAGAAAAATATATGTGTAAATTTACTTGGGAAAAGATATGCAAGGATATATACAAGATACAATGCTGTCTTTGGGTGGAGAACTGTGGGGGGGGTGATTTCAGTTCATTTCTTTTGTGTGTGTGTGTGCACTAGAATAAAAGAAAAATTAGTTTATTTTATTGGGGCTGTATTTTAGGAATGTTCGCCATGTAACTGAATAGTTTTTCCAAATTGCTAAGAAATGGAGGTGTCCCAGCTCATGTTACTCAGTTGGTTGGGTGTGGCCCTGGAAGGTTGCTGGCTGATCCCCGGTAGGAGGTATACAGGAAGCAGCCGATCCATGTTTCTCTTTCACATCAATGTGTGTCTCTCCCTCTCCCTTCCTCTTTCTCCAAAAATCAATTTAAAAAATCTTAAAAAAAAGAAATGGAGGTGAGATGCAGTAAATAATTGAAATATTTACGTTGTGTACTTAAGTTTATGTGAACATTTCCCGTGAGTCACCTCACTCTACCATTTTTATTAACAGGCCTTTTCGCACAGAGATGGCAGCAAGCAAACCTCAGTTGGCATCACTGGACACAAAACAGGCCTCTGGACAGCAACGGTCATCCAAAGTGAGCAGGTCAGAAAGGGTGCGAGCATTCCTGGGGGGACCAGTCCTACCCTTCGGTGAACTGCTGTGCCGATGTCAGAACAGGCTCTGTGTTTTACTGACCTGTGGGGAGAAGAGAGGCCCATTGTACAAATTAGGGATGGAGGCTGAGGGGCTCAGTGAGTTGGTGTCTCTGTTACATCAAAGCAGGAACAAAACGAAATTAAACTTCTAGGGCACAGCTCCCTTTGTGTCTTTGTTATCTCAAATTTTTTAAACCATTCATTTAAAAAAATATTTTTTATTAATTTCAGAGAGAACGGGAGAGGTAGAGATAGAAACATCAATGATGAGAGGGAATCATTGATTGGCTGCCTCCTGCACGCTCCCTACTGGGGATCGAGCCAGCAACCCGGGCATGTGCCCTTGACCGGAATCAAACCCAGGACCTTCCGTCCGCAGGCTGATGCTTTATCCACTGAGCCAATCTGGCTAGGGTAAACCATTAATTTTTATTTTTATTTTTATTTTTATTTTTTATTTTTTTTATTTTTTAATTTTTTTAATATATTTTATTGATTTTTTACAGAGAGGAAAGGAGAGATAGAGAGCTAGAAACGTTGATGAGAGAGAAACATCGACCAGCTGCCTCTTGCACACCCCCTACTGGGGATGTGCCCGCAAGCCAGGTACATGCCCCCAACCAGAATCGAACCTGGGACCTTTCAGTCCGCAGACCAATGCTCTACCACTGAGCCAAACCGGTTTCGGCTGAATATTATATTTCAATTATATTAAAGTAAGCATGTTATGTTAAAAAAAAAAAAAAAAAATTGACTACCAAAAAAAATGGTAGTACTTTGAAAGGGACTTGGCACCTAGCACATCCTATAAAGAGGGAATATGCAAATTGACCATCACGCTATCACAAATATGGCAGTGCCCATACCCACAAGATGGCAGCACCCAGTGCCCTCAGCCCCACCAGAGTCCCCCTAGTTCTTTCACAGAAAATGGGTTGCCTCAAAAGTTGGTTAAGCTTCTTAGGACAAAAAGCATTACAAATCTTTAAAAAGTGAATTCCAGTATTTATAAAAGTTTGGACTAGACAATTCAAGTTATTTCCACAACAACCTTCTATGATTTTGTGATATTAACATTTTTTTTTTTTTTTTATTTATTTATTTTTTTTTTAATCAATCTTTATTGTTCATATTATTACAAAGGTTCCTCATTTCTTCCCCCCTCCACCAGGTTCCTACCCCACCCTCCGTCCCCCCCCACCATTGTCCTCTTCCATAGGTGCAGTTTATGTTCAGTCTCTTCTTCCCTCAATTTCCCCAATAGTAAATCCCTTTTCAGATAGTAAATCAGTTATTTAGCATTTTCTCATGTCAATAATACCTCCACATGCCCAATGATACACTTCACACAAAAGACATTTCCCTCTAGGTCAACCAGCCTCATCCAGGCCCCACCCAAGGCACTCACAGATCAACACCCCAGTCCTAAACTAACTCAACACATCCAGATCTAAGCCTTCATCACTTGATTCAGCAGACCCTCAAGTTCCCACGAAAGTTTCCAGCCATGTCTGAGAAGCAGCCGTGGGGCAGGGGCAGGCAAGGAGCGAGCTGTTCTGGGCCTGGCTGCTCAGGGCCTGGCCTCTGTTGCTCTGGTTCATTCCACAATCAGCTGCTCCGGGTCTGGTCACTGCCGCTCCCGACCTAGTTGCTCTGGACTTGGCTGCTGCTGCTCCGGGCCTGGCCGCTCCCAGCCTGGCAGCCGCTGCTCCGGGCCTGGCCGCACCAGCCCCGCCTGCTCCCCCGGGCCTGGCCGCTCCCAGCCTGGCAGCCGCTGCTCCGGGCCTGGCCGCACCAGCCCCGCCTGCTCCCCCGGGCCTGGCCGCTCCCAGCCTGGCAGCCGCTGCTCCGGGCCTGGCCGCACCCGCCCCGCCTGCTCCCCCGGGCCTGGCCGCTCCCAGCCTGGCAGCCGCTGCTCCGGGCCTGGCCGCACCCGACCCGCCTGCTCCCCCGGGCCTGGCCGCTCCCAGCCTGGCAGCCGCTGCTCCGGGCCTGGCCGCACCCGACCCGCCTGCTCCCCCGGGCCTGGCCGCTCCCAGCCTGGCAGCCGCTGCTCCGGGCCTGGCCGCACCCGACCCGCCTGCTCCCCCGGGCCTGGCCGCTCCCAGCCTGGCAGCCGCTGCTCCGGGCCTGGCCGCACCCGACCCAAACCATTAATTTTTAAATAAAATAATATAACCGCATTGCCAAGCATCAGGGAAAATGGAGGAAGGAGAAACATAAACTATAATTATGACTTTAATACAGACTGTTAGCATTTTGGTGTATTTCAATACAGTCTTTTCCCTGAGCCTGTGTTTCTTGAAATGGATATAACGGAAGAGTTTTCAGTCAATATTGTATTATGATTATTTTTCTAATAATATTCTTCTTGTAATCTTGCTTAAAAGTATATTTAAAAAATGTTCATTGTAGAAAATTCAGGAAATATAGAAAAATCATAAAGAATGAAATATGTATTTCTATCACCATAACTACCACAACAATTTTTTAGATGTATATACTCTCTTTTACCCCTTAGATATAAAGATACTGTTTTTTTCTTAAATGGGATTATATTAAATATACTGTTTAGTAACCTGCTTTTTAAAACTTAGTTAATCATGATATATTTTTTTTCTTTTCCTTAAGAATTTTATATAATATCACATTTCATTGCTAAGTTCTGTTCCTTTCCTGCCTATACTGGAATTAACTAGCTATTTCTTTTTAAACCTGTAGGCTATTCCTTTATCAATAATTAAGACAACTCTGTTAAAGCTGCTTTTTTAGGCTTGGCCTGTGTGGTTCAGCGGTAGAATGTCAACCTATGAACCAGGAGGTCACAGTTCGATTCCCAATCAGGGCACATACCAGGCTGTGAGCTCAATTCCCAATGTAGGTCATGCAGGAGGCAGCCAATCGATGATTCTCTCTCATCATTGATGTTTCTCTACCTCTCCCTTCCTCTCTGAAATCAATAAAAAAAGTGCTTTTCATCTATGCTACAGGTGTATTAGACTTTAACTATACAACATATCTTTAGTATTTTGTATTTTGCGTTTGAAATTTTAACTGTTCATGAATGTGTTCATTATACTCAGTTTGTCAATGTAAGAAAGGGGTACAATAGATGAGGGTTGAGGAATGGAGACAAACATGAAAATTACTTGTAAGTATCTTAAGGCATTTCTTTTTCACAATACTGTTTTGTTCCCTATGTCTCTGTTCATGAAAATCTGAGCTTTCTTCAGAAATATACGCCCCTCTTTCAGAGCTATCCTCTAATTTATCTGATAGTTTCCTAGGTTCCTACTACATCTACATTTATAATGCTGAGTTTGAAAGCTGTAATAAAATAGCTTAAAAAAAAAAAAAAAAAGTCCTGAAAGCCGTACTAAACAAAGGGTATGGGGTTAAGAGAGAAAACAGGAGTAAAGGAAAGTTACTCTTTTGTTGCTTGGTTCATTAAGTAGAAATAAGTAAGATTTGTGTGTTTCTGAGTTGAAAAGGAGTTAGAGAAGAAGAGTTTAAAGATATATGAAGGAGGTTTGGTCAGGATGGCGGAGCGATAAATGCTGTGCTTGCCTTCTCCTGCAAACACATAAAAATTACAACTAGCCGGGACTGGTTTGGCTCAGTGGATAGAGCATCGGCCTGCGGACTGAAAGGTTCTGGGTTCGATTCCAGTCAAGGGCATGTTCGATTCCGGTTGTGGGCATATCCCCAGTGGGGGGTGTGCAAGAGGCAGCTAATCAATGATTCTCTCGCATGGATGTTTCTAACTCTCTATATCTCTGTGAAAAATCAATAAAAATATATTTTAAAAAATTACAACTAAATTACAGAACAACGAGAACCACCTGAAGACTGGCTGCACAGAACTCAGAAACAAGGATATAAAGAAGCAACCACGTTGAGGCTAGTAGGAGGGGTGGACGCAAAACCGTCTGGTTCCACACCCAAGGGTGGTGGTTAAGAATCAGCGGGGCTATGTTGGTTGTGGAGGTTTTCCCTGAGGAGTGAGGGGTTTCAGACCCACACGGGGCTGTCCAGCCTGGGGAGAGGAGTCCCCACAACTTCTGGCTATGAAAATCAGTAGGGATTTTGTGTGCTCTGATAAGATGAAAAGTAGCTGGAGTCCAGGCTTTCCTCATACAGGGCCTGTGCGTGGCTTTACTCACTGATGGCCTCATTTGCTCTGAGTTCTGGCGCTGGGGCAGCAACTCAGAAAGTGCCAAGGCCTGGAGGGGCAGCTTTCTCCCAGACGCAAGTGCTGGGAAAAGCCAAAGCAATCTTGAGGAAGAAGAACAAAGTTGGCAGTTTCATGCTGCTATCAAACTATCCTATCCTATAGTAATTAAAACAGCATGGTATTGGCATAAAAACAGACACATAGATTAATGGAACAGAATGGAGAATCCAGAAGTAAACCCATGCCTATATGGTCAATTAATCTATGAAAAAGGAGGGAAGAATATACAATGGGTTAAAGACAGCATCTTCAATAAATGATGTTGAAAAAACTGGATGGTTTCATATAAAAAAAGAAAGAAAGAAGTAAACTTTACTTTTTTACACTACATACTACAAGAATAAACTCAAAGTGGATTAAAGACTTACTAGTAATTGTAAGACCCGAAATCATAAAACTCCTTGAAGAAAACATAGGCAATAAAATATCTGGCATGGTTTTTAGTAATATCTTTTTAGATATGTCTCCTTAGGCAAGGGAAACAAAAGGAATTATAAACAAACCAGAGGCCCGGTGCACGAAATTTGTGTGTGGGTACAGTTCGTAGGCCTGGCCTGTGATCAGGGCCATCTTCCCTGGCCACTGGCAGCCACAACCACACACCCCCAGTTCCCCTTTCGCCATTAAGGGATGGGAGCCTGCCAGCCAGGGGGAGGGACTGAGAGGTGGTCAGTGCACCTCATAGCGACTGGTTGGTTGTTCTGGTTGTTCCA